AAATCAGTTGTCGAAATCGCTCGCGGTGCTCGAGCAAGATGTCGTAAGCGGACGCTGGGCACGATTGGAGGTGGAAAACTTTCTGGTCTTCCATGTTACTAGATTGGGGAAAAAATGGCTACCCTGTCAATAATTCATTTCGGTGCAAAACTAATATGGTGGTACACATTGGTTTGAGGGCTAGAAGATTACCCTAATTTCCGGTAGATAAGCCCGCGCAGTATCACGTAAAAACACCTCCGCTGGTGCAGTGCACTTGCGTACATCTAGAGACAACCGTAACTTGCCCATAGGGGTAATTCGATATGCTGATTACGAAAACGACATTCATTTTTAGCGGTGGCGCCATCTGGCGCCAGTTGGCGTCACCTTGTCACGACACCTGTTTTCACCAAATTTGGTGTAAACTTCCGTATAGGGGTTATTTGGTGTCCTGATTACGAATATGACATTCATTCTCGGCGCTGGCGCTATTTGGCGCCTATTTTCTGCTCGTCTGCGCTCTCCAACCGAGAAATATGCGTTGAACAACGTTAGCCAAAAACGAATGTCATATTCGTAATCAGGGCACCAAATAACCCCTATACAGAAGTTTACACCGATTTTGGTGAAAACAAGGGTCGTGACAAGGTGACGCCAACTGGCGCCAGATGGCGCCACCGCTAAAAATGAATGTCGTTTTCGTAATCAGCATATCGAATTACCCCTATGGGCAAGTTACGGTTGTCTCTAGATGTACGCAAGTGCACTGCACCAGCGGAGGTGTTTTTACGTGATATCGGCGCGGGCTTATCTACCGGAAATTAGGGTAATCTTTTAGCCCACAAGGCCAATGTGTACCACCATATTAGCTTTTGCACCGAAATGAATTATTGACAGGGTAGCCATTTTTTCCCCAATCTAGTAACATGGAAGACCAGAAAGTTTTCCACCTCCAATCGTGCCCAGCGTCCGCTTACGACATCTTGCTCGAGCACCGCGAGCGATTTCGACAACTGATTTCTGATGGGGATATTCGGTGTCTTCTTGAACCCCATGCAATGACAGCGTATTGCGAGGTTCGTTCACTTTCATTCTCATTTTTTGCGTTTGCAATTTTCAAATGGGATACCGTGCTAATGTATTTGGGAAAAGGGCATCCAAGGTGTAGAAAGCAGCTACAAACTGGCAAATATTTCATTTTATTTTAAACTTTCAAGAGCCGTGAAATGAGGATTCCAGAGATGAAGGAGCTTATAAGCAAAAAAAGCTCTTTTTGTGTTAGGGGTGAGAATTTTCGTTACCCTCCTTGAAGCTCTTTCATTCTTCCGAACTATTCTTCCCTCTGGCTCCCTTCTTTGCACTTTTTTGCACTAAAAGCGGTACAACACAAAAAATCATAGATCGATCCTGATGACTGATGACATCAGCTGGTGAAACTTCCCAAGTGCAGAAATCAAGAGAGAGAATGGGGTTCCACTTTGCGAGATCAAGGTCGTTTTCTTGGTTTTTTCTTCACCTCTGCCTCATTGGTAACCTCTACCTTCATTCCCAATTTGGCGACTAGGTAATTTATTGGTGAATTTGCGTTCGCAAGCACCAGTCGCGTTCCGACACGAGATTGAATTGAAGATTCTTTTGATGAAAACACGTCGAGAGAGATCTAACCACTTCCACTATCGCGTAAGGGGGTGTGGCTAGACAAATGTCCACCTTTTCCCGCCTCTCAGCTATCACGACCGGCGCCTTCCATCAAGACATTTAATCTTATCTGAAATATCATTATCCTTGTTTTAGCATTTACTGGAAACAAGATCTCCTCGGGAATTGTCTGTGCCTTTTGGAGAATTTCGCCGTCGAGAAATTTCCAGGGCAGAAGCTAATGGACACACTAGGTTCGAAGTATTCTGGAACGAGATCTATAAATACCTAGTCTTCACTATCACGGCTGTGGATGATCTGGCAGCAGGTGATGTAATATCGTGAAAAAAAAACAATACTGGCAAGCAGTCCGTCTAATCTCCCTATTTGGAGGCCAAATCCTGAAACTAATATGTCATGCAAATGATATTGCTTCTTCGGCAACACTTCACGTAAACTTTCCATGCCCACCGTCTCCCAGCTGTTTTGCGATGTACTTGAAGCAAGAGCGTATTCTCAACGAGCATCTTACTGATGAAGAGGTCAAAGTAAGTTTAAGTATGTTTTACGAATTTCAAAAACATTTTCTAGCATGCGCATAGATCGTGCGTGCTCATCTTAGAGGTAACGATGAAGATCTGCGGTTCAAATCCGATTCTGGCGGTGAATGTTGATCAAGAAATCACATTAGCGGCCAAGGGCGCTGATAAGATCCTCGTAGACTCTAGACTCCTCTTCCTGACAACAACCAATGATCAAGTTGGTGGGGGAATAAGGCTCGATAATGGAGGTTCAGGAGCGATCTGGAGTGAAAAAACAGCAAAAGAAATTGTCCATGAAGCTTTCAACAAGGTTCCCCTCCCTTCAGCTGTGAGATGCGGGAAGAGCATGTTTGGACTACTTTTCCAAACCTGCTGTCTCCATGCCAGAATTTGGTGGCTCTAAAGAAGAAAAGTAGAACAAATCCTTTTGCAAAAATGAAACCAAACATCATACCAACCACCAACTCGCGCATGTTAGAATTAGAACTACTACTTGCATGCTAAGGGATGAGCGCAAGGAATCTCGTCTACTTGCAGATAGTTGCTTGGATTTGCTTATTTTGTGAGCACAGCGCTGTTGTCGTCCAATTTTGGTGGCGACTTCTGCAATACTCGTGGGTAATTGTATGTCAACTCACACCATCAGTTGAGTTTCTAATCTACCAGCTGAATGGTATAGGGAAGAGCGCTGATAGTTTTCATGGGCAAATGCGTTACTCATAAATTTTGCGAGTGCAACCGTTTTTCCGTTGGGCGGAAGTGGTGTAGTGGCAAGTGGCACGCTTACCACGCGAGCGGTCCGGGGATCAAATCCTGGGTCGTGAGTCGCCCGGGCCAACCAAGCCTTCCATCCCTCCGGGGTCGGTTAATTGGTACCAGACTTGTCTGGGAGGATAAAAACACTGACTTGTACATCGGCTGGCCCCCGCAAGTCATTGTATAGGCCACATCGCCACTACGAATGTACAAAGGTGCGTGCCGCATCCCAAAAAGGGATTGATCAACGGCAAATGCTTTATCCTTTATCCTTTACCCGTTTTTTCCAGAGAATGTGGGATGCTATGCTACCGAAACACCGTATACCTCTATTCGAGCAATACAGGCTTGAGGTACGCCTTTGCCAATGGCCTTGACTTGCCCACAGGCATCGAACTTCATCCGTACATATAAGTAAACTTGCCTTTTTCAGCTAACAACGTTTGTCGAAAATTTGAACAACTTTTTGCTACACACTCCACAACTCAACGAACAGCAAAAGATGCACGCTAGGAACATTATAAGTCGCACTTCGACAGCAATTGAACAAGTCGACGAAATCCTCAGCAAGCTGGTGAGCTTAAAATTGCTATACATCTCCTGTCTTGAATTTTCACTTCGATAAAATATGATGTAATCCTTACTGGACGCTTTACAAGTTGGAATTGTTTCTCTACACCTGTTCATTCCTGGCGTTCATGACGTTATTTCTACCATATTCAATGCGCTACTTCTATCTGTCTGGAGGTGCGTATGTCCTTTACTAACCTGTTATCACCTGAACTTAGAAAAGCTGGGTTAATTGTGGCATGAATGGGCTAGATGTTAGGATGACGATAGAGCTAAGCTTAGACCTGTCCATACTGGGCATGCACGAATAGGCGCTACCAAAGGTGAAACTTGCTGGTTTTGCTCTAGAACAACCCATTAGTTGAAAAAAGGGTGAAGGTGGGCGACGGTGTAATGAAGATGATAGAAGAGTCGCAGTGGGCGGAAATTTCCAAAATGGGTGATGGTTACTATAAAATTTTGTGACTCGGTGCCTGGGCATCACTGAGATCCGGAAAAAATTGAAGGAGCAATGTCTACCGCCTGTGGGCATCTTGAAGTAATGGTGTCCTACATTACGTGGCTTCTAGCAAGAAGTGCAACTCGGTCCCAGGGCATCCTAGAAGCCAGGAAAAGGAGGGTGGGGTTTAGCCAAAGAACATTATGCTTTCGACGGAAAGAACGTGCACTACGCAGGAAGTGGACGAAGCTGGTACTCAAATGTCATCAAGTTCAAGACAGCCTGGAGGTTTGAAAAATGTGGACGCTGCCTGGCTAATGAGTTTAGGTTAGATGTCATGGTCGGCGAACAGTTCATGGAGGAGAACTTGCAAAAGAGGAGAGGATTCTATTCATTCTATCAAAATTTGACTCACTCTTCGTAATAACCTTCCTATTTTTCAGTGATGCTGTATCATACTATTGTAAAAAATATAATCGTGTAGTGGCAGTAGACTTATATGTTTCAGAAGATGAGTGATATCGCGCAGTCTGCCTGCGCGCTGAAGTATTTCAAGCAGGTGGGATACATTTTTATTAAAGTTTTTATTAAAGTTTTTTTTATTTTATTTATTATCGTAATTTGATTTGAACTAGAAAACAAGGTTATTCTCATCGTACAAGCGTTTTCTTTTCTCTCAGCCCTCACTTGACGTACGTCTGGGAATTTGGGGCTGTCTCGGACGCATAGAGGTAATACGCCTGAAGTGCGATACACACCCTAGTTGCTCGAGAGTCTTTAAAGGATCATTGGAGTCATTGAAGGCTTATGGTGTAGACCTGAAGACGCTCTTCAAGCCTGAATCCTCTCTAGGATTTATGCTTGCTGCAGTGCTGGTGTGTAATCTTGGCTTCCTTCGCTTTGTCGTTTCTTTGCCGCCTTGTCTTTCTTCCCAATATTTAGAGTTTCTTCCTCATCAACTTGTGCAATGAGCGAATGCTCCAAAAAGAGGCGGCCTCCCTGAGGACGTTTTCGGTGGATTCAGATTTCCTTCCTATTGTCACGCTCAGCAGTTTGAAAATTCGAATTCCATCATCCATGGTTTGCTTATCGCGGAATGTGCACTAACGTAAATGCCCTTATACTCAGACAGGTTAAGTATGCAGTAAAAAGAAACAGGAGGAGCAAATTGAAACGGTCATCGCTCATGGAATCTACCTCCAACGTAGCTTTCTTTCCCACTATTTGATCAGTATTTGATATTGAGGTAGCGATTCCAAACGTGTTTCATAGCTAAATGCGTAGCAAATTGTCTAGGTGTGTAACTTCTTGGAAAATGCGCAGACCTAGCTGCATCAGAGTCTCCTTCTTCTCATTGGCGATCGTCGCGCACTTTCAAAAGGACCACTGTTCCTTTTAGGCTTCTTCGCTTTGCCCTCTCTCAAGGCAATATCTGCCGCTTACTTATTTTCACTGATTTTGTTCTTCTTGAGATGTCTCCATCTCATCTTAGAGCTCATTGTAGTCGCTTGCTCTGGAATTCGAGGTCTAGTACTTTCCATTAGGTAACTGTCATTACGCGCACTTATCATCAGAGCCGCTGCTTTCGCTCTTTCAGTTGAACAGGGGTGCTAGACAGGAGGCCCATGGCGTGGCGAGAGGGGAGAGACGCAGATGGGTCAGCGGACGAGTTGCCACGCGCACTGTGGCGATTTAGCTTCAATATAGTGCACTATAATACGTCCCACATCGCGCAATCGCGGCGAAGCTCATCCGCCGAAACGTTTGCGTCTCTGCCTTTTCGCCACACAGCAGGCCTCTTGTCGGGTGCTGAGCAGGAGTAGTCTGCATTACCGACCTGACGTCCTCATTCTGACCCTGTCGCGAAGCGCTCAGCCACATGCACATTTTGGCGTCCTTGTTTAAGCGGAAGGAAGCTGCATCTCAGGTTCTTGTCTCCACGCCGAAACTCGCTACCGTAAACCATTGTGGGGCTAATCACCGCATGGTACACGTTGCGCTTTAGCGCCTTACACCACGCGAGCAGCAATAAAATTTTCTAGTATTTGCATTACATATGAGTACTCTAAACTTATAAAGTTCCTTTAGAAGGTTGGCTGCTTCTACAAGGACATTCTGGACGATGCCGAACGTGAACAAACAATTCAGAAGGAATTCGACGCACTACCGAAAAGGGTAATTGCATGGATGGCTAGTGCGCACGATGGTGAATGACATTCCTTCAGTCCATTGCGGATCATCGGTATGTGTGCACATCCATTGGTTCTGTCGTCCTTTTTCAGTAACTTTGAATCCAGTAGTAGTTTTATCAGTATCCTAATTCATGACAATTTCTGTGCTCGACAAAACTTACTGATAATTTTGTTACTTAACAAACTGGCAAATAAATCGAAGATGATGTCCTTCTTCGTGTGGTGGCCTACTGTACATAATGCAGCATTCGGTCTGCAATGGGTTAAAGCCATGGTGACTGCTTTATAAAGAAATCCATTTTGTTACTCAAAGAGGGGATGATTTGTGCGATCATGGCGATAAGAACCGTGAGGTAGCCATCACTTCGCGGTCTCGTCGCTTGAAGGCCCTCAGCTTTACAGAATGTGCCAAACCACTGAAAGGATGCCTACATACTAGCGATATATGACTCAGACAATAGGCCTCAACTCTGGCGGTGTCCTTCACTGACAGTCCCACCACTGTCTGCCTCTCCGTGATGTTTACCCTATTTCACCTTTTCGTGAGCTGCACTCTCCTCCATATACAAGGATCTTGCGCAAAGGGGGCATTACTCAAACCTTTTTGCTTCTTGTTCTCTGACCGAAAAAATTGAGAAGGAGTAATATGAAACCAGGGTCAACCGTCACGTTCGAACATTTTCGGGATTTTTGCGACCCCCTAGCTCTCGAGGGGGTCCAGTTGCGACCCCCTGTTTTTGTTAATAAGAGTGCTAGACATGAATCCGTTGCGCCAGAAAGCGTCTGCGCCGCCGCAGACAGCGTCTGCGTTGCTGC